GCTTCTTTCATTTACACAACGTTTTCAAGGTTCATCCAGATTGTAGTAGGTATCAGTGCTTCCTTTCCTTTTCTTGCTGAAGAACATTCCATTGTATGGCTAGACCACACTTGTCCACTCATCAGCTGGTGGGCATTTGGGTTGCTTCTACTTTTTGGTTATTATGGATAATGCCCCTATTATCAGTAAGTGTACTAATTTTTGTTTGGACGTGTGTTTTCATTTCTCTTGGTTATAAACCCAAGAGTGGAATTGCTGCGTTGTGTGGTAGCTCTGCATGTAACTGAGGAACTGTCAGACTGTTTTCCAAAGTGGCTGCCCATTTTGCATTCCCCCTGCCGGGTGTGAGGGTTCCAGTCTCTCCACCTCCTCGCCGACGCTTGTTCACACCTGCTGTCTATCTTTTTGATTATCGCCATGCTAGTGGGTGTGTAGTAGTATGTTGTGATTTTGATTTGCATTTCTCTGATGGCTTGTGATGCTTATTGTAATAGCTTATTGGCTATTTGTACGTCTTCTTTGGAGAACTGTCTATTCAGTTCCTTTGCCCATTTTTATTGGATTATTTGTGGCTTTTTTTAAAAAAATCGGCACCTGAGCTAACAACTGTTGCCACTCTTTTTTTTTCTTCTGCTTTTTCTCCCCAAATCCCCTCAGTACATAGTTGCATATTTTAGTTGTGGGTCCTTCAAGTTGTGGCATGTGGGATGCCACCTCAGCATGGCCTGATGAGCAATGTCATGTCCGTGACCAGGATCCAAACTGGTGAAACCCTGGGCTGCCAAAGCAGAGCGCGCGAACTTAACCCCGGATTATTTGTGTTATTGTTGAGTTGTAATAGATTTTTTTCTGTTCTAGATACAAGTCCCTTATCAGATATATGATTGCAAAAAAATCTCTCCTATTTTGTGGGTTCTCTTTCAATTTCTTCAAGGTGTAGATGTAGATACATTTTGTAAGGTATTCTTTTTTTTTTTTTTTTTATTGTCAGGACTTCAGCGCTGAATTCAGTGAGGAGACGAATTCAGCCCAGCATGCCTCCAACGTTCTTAGAGCACTTGGCGATTTGTAAATTGTTTCCGTGCATGTAATGTGATTGAACCCCCACCACAGCGCTGGGAGGGAGGCGACCCCTCCGCCTGGTCTCCACTCAGAGATAGCAGGTGACTTTCCTGTTGTCACTCTCATGGTCTTTGGTGACCTCAAATGCCAGCAGGCCTTCCAATCCAGAGGCCAGGGTCTTCCTACTAAAGGTTTTAAACTCAGGACCGCCACTATCCGCCAAGCAGGACGTATGGATGTGGTCGATTTACCCAGCAGCCCTGCCCCCAGGTTAAAAAAAACCCTGCCATTGAATTTGCCATCTGAGCCACTTTTCAGTGAGCAGTTCAGTAGTGTCAAGTATATTGACGTTGTCGTACAACGGACGTCCAGAGAGTGGGAGCTCTGTCACCTGCCAGGGGCCCAACGCACTGACTCAGCTGTTTGGGCAGCTGTCACTTAGAGTGGAAACATTTGTAAGTGGTTTCCAAACACTTTCAGGTCTTGAAAATGGCTGCAATGAGAGATGTTACAAGGATCAGAGGTGGAACCTGGGAAGGAAAATGTCAGCACGTCTGTTCAACCTGCGGCAAGGTAATGAAAGGAATTTTTACTTATTTTGTCTTACCTGGGGGCAGGGCTGCTGGGTAAATCGACCACATCCATACGTCCTGCTTGGCGGATAGTGGCGGTCCTGAGTTTAAAACCTTTAGTAGGAAGACCCTGGCCTCTGGATTGGAAGGCCTGCTGGCATTTGAGGTCACCAAAGACCATGAGAGTGACAACAGGAAAGTCACCTGCTATCTCTGAGTGGAGACCAGGCGGAGGGGTCGCCTCCCTCCCAGCGCTGTGGTGAGGGGTTCAATCACATTACATGCACGGAAACAATTTACAAATCGCCAAGTGCTCTAAGAACGTTGGAGGCATGCTGGGCTGAATTCGTCTCCTCACTGAATTCAGCGCTGAAGTCCTGACACCCAGCACCTCCGAATGCGGCTGTATTTGGAGACAGGCCTTT